TTTGAGCAGCCAGGCCAAACAATGATATAGCAAGAAAGAACTTCAGTCTTTTTTTTTTTTCTTCAATAATTTTTTTCTTTTATTTCTTATTATGTTCATTGGGCCAACACATAGTACATCATTAGTTTTTGATGTAGTGTTCAGTGATTCATTAGTTGAGTATAACACCCAGCTCATTACAACACGTGCCCTCCTTAATACCCATCACCCAGTTACCCCATCCCTCCACCCCCCCCCCACTTTTCTGCAACCCTGTTTGTTTCCCAGAGTCCAGAGTCTCTCTCTCATGGTTTGTCTACCTCTCTCTGATTTTCTCCCTTTCAGTTTTCCCTCCTTTCTCCTGTAGTCCTACACTCTATTCTTTATATTCCACATATGAGTGAAACCATATAATAATTGTCTTTCTCTGCTTGATTTATTTCATTTAGCATAATCCCCTCCAGTTCCATCCATGTCTATCCAAATGGTGGGTATTCATCCTTTCTGATGGCTAAGTAACATTCCATTGTACTTATGAACCACATCTTTTTTATCCATTCATCTGTTGAAGGGCATCTTGGCTCCTTCCACAGTTTGGCTATTGTGGACATTGCTGCTATGAACATTGGGGTGCAAATGCCCCATCTGTATCTTTGGGGTGAATACCTAGTAGTGCAATTGCTGGGTCATAGGGTATCTCCATTTTAATGTCTTGAAGAATCTCTATACTGTTTTCCAGAGTGGCTGTGGCAGCTTGCATTTCCACCAACAGTATAAGAAGGTTCCCTTTTCTCCATATCCTCACCAACATTTGTTGTTTCCTGTCTTGTTAATTTTTGCCATTCTAACTGCTGCAAGGTGGTATCTCAATGTGGTTTTGATTTGTATTTCACTAATAGCTAGTGATGTTGAACATTTTTTCATGTGTCTGTTAGCCATTCGTATGTCTTCTTTGGAGAAGAACTTCAGTCTTTTAATAGGTGTATGTCTTGTGCAGCTTTTTTAAATGTTAATAAACTTTTTCACCTTTTAAATGGATTTTATTTTTTAGAGCAGGTTTATGTTCACAGCCAAGTTGAGCAGAAAGTTCAACTCACAGTTCCCTTATTTCCCTGGCCTTTCTCATTTTTTCATTTTACATTTCTCCTATGATATCTGCTAATTTGCCATCTGAGTATCTTTTCTAGTGAAGTGTCTATTCAGACTTGTGCTCAGTTTTCATTGCATTGTTTGACTTCTTATTGTTGAGTGTTGAGATTTTTTAATATAGTTTGAGTACAATTCCCTTGTGAAATAGTTGATTTGCCAATATAATTTTTCTAAATCTATTGCTTTTTTTTTTCAACAAAAACAATTGATTAAAAAATTAGCAGAGGAACTGAAGGGATATTTTCTTTAAGATTTTTATTTATTTATTTATTTGACAGACAGAGAACACTGTCTGTCAAATAAAGTAGGTAGAGAAGCAGGCAGAGAGAGAGGAGGAAGCAGGCTCCCTGCTGAGCAGAGAGCCCAATGTGGGGCTCGATCCCAGGACCTGGGATCATGACCTGAGCCAAAGGCAGAGGCTTTAACCCACTGAGCTATCCAGGTACCCCCTGAAAGAATATTTTCCAAAGAAGACATCCAAGTGACCAAAAGACATGAAACATATGTTCAAGTGTGTTCAACATCACTAATTATCAGGAAAATGCACATCAAAACCACAAGATATCACCTTACACTTGTTAGTTAGACTAAAAAGTCTAACTTGTTATTGTTATTATCAAATGTACAATACACAGCAAGAGGAGAGAGGAGAGGCTGTGGGGAAAATGCAATCCTTGTATACTATTGGTGGGAATGTAAATTATTGTATCCACTACATAAAACAGTATGGACATTCCTCAAAAAATTAAAAAATAGAATTTCATATGATCCAGCAATTCCACCTCTGGGATACATCCAATGGCAATGAAACCACTATCTCAAAAATATATCTGCATCCCCATGTTCATTCCAGCATTATTCATAATAGTCAAGGCATGGAAATGACCTTAGTGTTCATCAATGGATGAATGGATAAGCCATACACACACACACACACACACACACACACACACACACACACACAGAGTGGAATATTATTCAGTCATAAAAAGAAGGAAATTCTGCCTTTTGTGACAACATGGATGATCTTGAGGGCTAAGTGACATGTGTCAGACAAAGACAAATAATGTATTATTTCACCTCTATGTAAAATCTTAAAAAGCTGAATTCATAGGAGAAAGTGGAAGAGTAGTTGCAGGTGATGGAGGGTGGGGGAAATGGGGAGATGTTGGTCAAAGGATACAAACTTCCAGCTATAAGATGAATAACTTCGGGGATCTAATGTACAGTATAGTGACAATAACTGACACTATAGTATTATATACTTGAAAGTTTTTCAGAAAGTGGTCCAGTTTCATTCTTCTGCATGTGGCTGTCCAATTTTCCCAACACCATTTGTTGAAAAGATTGTCTTTTTTCCCATTGGATATTCTTTCCTGCTTTGTTGAAGAGTCATTGATTATAGAGTTGAGGGTTTATTTCCGGGTTCTCTATTATTTTCCATTTACCTATGTGTCTGCTTTTGTTCCAGTACCATACCGTATTGATGACTACAGCTTTGTAATATAGCTTAAACTCTGACATTGTGATGTCACCAGGTTTCTTACACCATACACAAAATTAAACTCAAAATGGATGAAAGGAATCCACTAAAATCCTAGAGGAGAATTTCGGCAGCAACCTCTTTGATCTCAAAACACAACTTACTAGACATGTCTCCAGAGGCAAGGGAAATAAAAGTAAAAATGAACTATTGGGACTTCTTCAAGATAAAAAAGCTTCTGCAGAGAGAAGGAAACAATCAGCAACACTAAAAGGCAAGCTATGCAATGAGGGAGGATATTTGCAAACGACTTATCAGATAAAGGGCCAGTATCCAAAATCTATAAAGAACTTATCAAACTCAACACCCAAAAAACAACAAATCCAGTCAATAAATGGGCAGAAGACATGAACAGATAGTTCTCCAAAGAAGATATACAAATGACCAACAGACATGAAAAAATGCCCCACGTCACTCAGCATCAGGGAAATACAAATCAAAACCACAATGAGATACCACCTCAAACCAGTCAGAATAGCTAAAATGATCAACTCAGGAAACAATAGATGTTGACAAGCATGCAGAGAAAGGGGAATACTCTTACACTGTTGGTGGGAGAGCAAGCTGGTGCAGACACTCTGGAAAACAGTCTGGAGGTTCCTCAAAAAGTTAAAAATAGAGTTACCCTTTGAGCTAGCAACTGCACTACTAGGTCTTTATCCTAAGGATACAAACATAATGATTCAAAGGGGCATGTGCACCCCAATGTTTATAGCGGCAATGTCCACGATAGCCAAACTATGGAAAGAGCCCAGATGTCCATCAACTCAAGAATGGATCAAGAAGAAATGTGGAATATTACTCAGACATCAAAAAGAAGGAAATCTTGCCATTTGCAATGAGGTGGATGGAACTAGAGGGTATGAGCCTAAGTGAAATAAGTTAGTTAAAGAAAAATAAATACCATACGATTTCATTCATATGTGAAATTTAAGAAACAAAACTGATGAACATAGAGGGAGGGAAGAAAAAAATAAAATAAGATAAAGACAGAGAGGGAAGTAAACCATAAGAGATTCGTAACTCTAGGGAACAAAATGAGTGTTGCTGGAGGGGAGGTAGGTGGGGGGATGAGGTAATTAGATGGTGGGCATTAAGGAGAGCACTTGATGTAATGAGCACTGGGTGCTATACACACCTGACGAATCACTAAATTTTACCCCTGAAACTAATACTACACCATATGCTAACTAACTTAAATTTAAATAAAATTTTGAAAGAAAAAAAAGTTGCTGAGAAAGTAAACCTTAAATGTTACTACTATACCCTATGTTGTGGGGAGATGTTTTGCCATATATACATGTTTCAAATAATCAGATGGTACACCCTAAACTTTCATATGGGTATGTCAATAATATCTTAATACAGTCAGGAAAAAAAATATAATACAACTTAAAAATCTGTAAAGGACTTGAATAGACATTTCTCCAAAGAATATATACAAATGGTTGATAATTACATGAAAAATTCCTTAATATCACTAATCACCAGGGAAATGCAAATCAAAACCATGATGAGATATCACTTTGTGCTCATTAGAATGACTATTGTTAAAAAAAATTAAAAAGCAGGAAATAACAAATAATTAATTGGTAAGGATGTAGAGAAGTTAGAGTCCTTTGTCAGTGCTCGTGGGAATATAAAGTGGTGTATAAAAAGGTACAATGTAGAAAAAATTACAATGGCTCCTCAAAAAATTAAACATAGAATTACCATTATGACCCAACAATTCTACTTCCAGGTAAATACTCAAAAGTTATGAAAGCTGAAACTTGAACAGATATTTGTACACCAACATTCACAATATTCACAATAGACAAAAGGTGGAAACAAATGTCTATCAAGGGAAGAATGGATAAAAAAATGTGGTATATACATACAGTGTAATATTATTCAGCCTTAAAAAGGAATGAAATTTTCATTCATAACTACAATATAGGTGAACCTTGAAAACCTTATGCTAAGTGAAATAAACTAGACACAAAAGGACAAATATTGTATGATTCCATCTATACGAATTACCTAGAACAGTCAATTTCATAGAGAAAGAAAGTAGAATACAGGTTACCAGCACCTAGGGGGAGAGATGAATGAGGAGTTTTTGCTTAAATGGTAGAGTTTCTGTTGGGGGTCATAAAAATATCTTGGAAATAGAGATGATGGTGTATAACTATGTGAATGGACTTAATGACCCTGAATTATACACTTAAAATATATTGAAATGAAAAAGTCAATGTTACATATATTTTACCAGAACTTTTAAAAAGAAAAAGAAACGAACTGTTACAGCTTTTTTTTAGGATGGAAGTTTTAAAATATAGGTAACTTTGTGCTCACTTCTGCAGGACATATATTAAAACTGGAACAATACAGAGAATATTAACATTGTCCCTATGCAAGGATGACATGCAAATTCATGAAGTGTTCCATATTTTTAAAACAATTTTTTAAAAATAAAACAAAATACAGTTACTTTTGAAAGAACAAGAAACCACCCAGTCATTGCAGCAGGCCACATCATGTGAATGTATCCCTAATGCTAGTTTGTTTGAGATTGTGGAGCACATCTTTCTGCAGGGGAACTAGCCTGAGTACTAGGTTGCCTCTTGCCACATCCATCCTTGGAGCCATCATCCTTCTTCCCTACTCCAAATTGTGGCTCTTGAAACCACCTACTCCACCTTTCCAAATTGTGGCTATTGAAGTCTTTCTTCTCCATGTTGACAGTGCCAGCCCTCTCATCCTTCCTTGTGGGCATAGGATCCCACCACCTCACCTCGAAATCTTCTCCGAGGATCTATTGAGTTTAGGCTGCAAACCTGGATTTTTGCACCCCAGCTGAAGCACTTGACAGGCTACTGCCATATTTGTGCTCACAGTCAGGTGAAATCCTTTGAATTTGTCAGAATGCAAAGGTTATGGCCAGAAGGTCTGAGACCCACAGGTGAATCAATAACCAGGGAACAAGGGCAAAGAACCCTAAGGGCCCATGCCAGGAAAGAAAAGTGTTAGCGCCACAGCCCAAAAATGTTGTGAGTCCTGATGAGAAAACTACATGTATTATAAAAATAACAATGCAAGTTTACAATAGAACACTATTAAAAATCAGTCAGTAATGTCTGAACTGGAACATCCTGGTATGAAAGATCTTTCCAGGGGTCCTCAGAGAAGACCTGATCCAATGTCTTTGGGGAAGAAACAAAATTATGTATTATAAATTGTCCATATAGTTTGTTTTGTTTCTTAAAAATAAGGATATTTTAAAACTCTCTGACGGACGAAAGTAGATGGCTTAGAATAGCTCTCAATGGCCAAAGGGTGACAAATTGGAAAGGAAAAGAACAATTATCACTCATTGGAAGAAGTTAAGCCCGTAATTATTCCTCAAAAGGGGAAAAGTTTAAGAAAAATATAAAGCCCTTATATGGGACGCCTGGGTGGCTCAGTTGGTTAAGCGGCTGCCTTCGGCTCAGGTCATGATCCCAGTGTCCTGGGATCGAGTCCCACATTGGGCTTCTTGCTCGGCAGGGAACCTGCTTCTCCCTCTGCCTCTGCCTGCCTCTCTGTCTGCCTGTGTTCGCTCTCTCTCTCTCCCTCTGTCCCTGACAAATAAATAAATAAAATCTTAAAAAAATATATATAAAGCCCTTATAATGAAGAAGAGGGAAGACCATAATAAAAGAAACAAATGTTTATTAACTTTAACTAGTAAGGACTATGGAGTCTGTAGGAGTCTTATTCTTGATTCACGGTATATGTTGCAATGAAACATAGATCCGCCTTTGTTTCTACCTAATAGGGGAAGAATTGACTAAAGGAACTCTGATGGCCAGAAACTGACAGGAAAGGTCAGAACTATACCACCAACACCTGGAGAGGGGACATCTGGGATCATGCATGCTGCATCAGTCAGCAAATAATGTCCTCTCCGGGGGAGGTGACAGCAATGGAGCTCTCGACTCTGGGGTGTCTAGAAAGTCATGGCCTTTGCCATTTACCCTAGCCCTGATCTCTTTCTGGCCTCAGCCCAAACCTGGACTGGGCGACCCCTGTGTCCTTCCTTCCATTACTCATCGCCTGCATTCACCCCTATTGTGTGGAATCAGCCCCTTACCACCACCCTCTTCTACAGCTCACTTCCCTACCTCAGAGGAATCAGCAGCTTCGTCAGCACCAGCTGTGTGTTCCCGCCCCTTTCCACCCCACACCTCTTCCCCCACGTTCTTGGAACTGCTCCTTGAGCCATCCAGTGATTACTTAAGCCATACTTAATTCCTTTCCCCCAGCATGCCCTCCCTCTGTCCTCGGCCCAGCAGGGAGATAGTTCCCACGGTTCTACTCTTCCCAAGACTGCTGCAGGGCAAAGCAACAGAACACCTCACACAATGAGTAGCAGTAAAGGAAGTGCCTTGTTCCCATAAATAATATAATCCGGTCCAAGGAAGGCACTCTGTAAAGAAGGTTCTATAGGACTTCTGCCGCGCATCAGGAGACTGGCCTGCCCCAGACCCGCTCTGAATCCTGGGTAGGAATCTGGACTAGGCCCTGTGTGATGGAACCTTTCCGAGACGGTTGGGGTTAAATCTTCCTGGACGTTGCGAGCTGCGGAGATCAGGGTACCCACACCTGTGCACTCTAAGGCTTTCGGACCACTGCACAGGCTTGCAGTCTGGAGCCAGGGGAGACCACTGCGAAGCTGTACATCCCAGCAGCATCCGCAGCTGGGCCTGAGGAATGAAAAACCACAGCCTTGCCAAAAGTCAGAGACAGAGATCGGAGAAATACTTAATAAAGCGAGACTGACCGAAGTCCGGGTGGCACCGAGGCTACAGTTCCCCGAGAGCAGCCCCCACCCGGGCCCAGCGCGTTTCACCTCGCCCGCAGCGGCGCGGGGCTGCGGAGGACGCTAACAGGCTCTACGCCCCGCCCCGCCCCCACCCCGAGCCCTCCCTTGACTTAACCCTTCCCTGCCCGCTTCCTTGACACAACGGCCCGCCCCTCCAAGCCACGGCGAGCGGGCGCGGGCCCACCTCCTTCCCCACCCCGCGGGGGCGCGCGGCGCCAGGAGCTAACCGTGGTGCTGAGCTCGGCTCGCGGCTTGGGCTCGGGCGCGGCTCTCCGCCCTGCCAAGGCCGCGTACTGCCACATTCCCGGTCACCAGCGGTAAGTCGGCAAAGGCCGAGGATTTAGGCTTGGGGAGAAAGGGGATGATTTGGAAATTTTTGTATGTTCTTTTGAGCGATGGGCGGACTGAGTGGAGGAACAGGGTCTGTACCCTCTCTACCCCACAGTGTCCTGAGCGGATGTTGCGGAGTCTGGGGTCTGGGGGCGACGACACTTTTCGGTCTGGGCTAAGGAAGGGGAGAGAACACTTGCGCGATGATGCGGAGGCTGGGAAAGAACAGATAAGACTGGAGACCCATTTTCTTTCAGCCGGGCAGCCCGGGAACACCTAAAGACTCCCTTAGAGGAGGTGGAACAGAACCTTTGCTCCCCAAAAGGTCCTTTGTCTCCCCAGCGTGGGGATTGGGTGAATTGGTGATGTTCTTGCTGCAGATTCTATTTCTGCTTCATTCCCCACCCCACACCCACCCCATTACACGAGGCTTTCTTTCTCCACAATAGCCTTCACTCCATCCACCCTGAAGGTTTTGGCTTAGACAAGACACCCTCTACAGAAGTAAAGCATTGCCCCATACATAACCTCCTACGCTGACCCTAGTGTCCAGGAAGTCCCTTGGTGGGGCTCCCCTCTGAAGCCTCTGCTTTCCTATCACCATTCACCTCTTTGTATTTCAAGGCTTGCGATTTTATTGGGTGTTGGGGGCGGGGCAGGGAAAAGCATGGCAAATGCCAAAACTATTAGTCAAAATTTTTGTATCTCCAAAACACTGCTATTATATGTGCACCTGCAAGGTTTTTATTTGCTCCGTGATATGCCCAATCACTTTCATGTTAAAAAAGGGAAGAAACTGACAGAATTACCTTCCCAAAGGGAAAAGAAAATCCTAGGCAGTGGAGTTAAAGTTATTCATCTTGTAGAAAGCAGCCAGTAGAATTACTTCATTTTCTCAATTTGCAACAAATCCATATGCAAGTTCATACTCTGTGTAAGACACTGAGAGGAAAGATTGGCATACATGGAAAGTCTCTGTCGCTATTTACTTTCCACTAGGCCCTGGTCTGGTTTCTTTTTTATTTTTTTTAAGATTTTATTTATTTACTTGACACAGAGAGAGTGATCACAAGTAGGCAGAGAGGCAGGCAGAGAAAGCAGGGAAGCAGGCTCCCTGCTGAGCAGAGAGCCTTTTGTGGGGCTTGATCCCAGGAGCCCAAGGCAGAGTATTAACCCACTGAGCCACCCAGGCGCCCTATGGCAAGGCTTCTAATCTGCTTTCTTTTATTTTATTTATTTATTTATTTATATTTATTTATTTCTTTTCAGTGTAACAATATTCATTGTTTTTCACCACACCCAGTGCTCCATGCAATACGTGCCCTCCCCAATACCCACCACCTGGTTCCCCCAACCTCCCACCCCCTGCCCCTTCAAAACCTTCAGGTTGTTTTTCAGGGCCCATAGTCTCTCATGGTTCACCTCTAATCTGTTTTCTTGCCTCCACTCTTTGAGCCTACTTTCCATTCTCATTTACAACTGATCCATTAAAACTGAAAATTCACCTCTGTTACTCACCCTTGATGGTTGGCTCTCCATTGTGCATAGGATAAAAGCCAAGACCCAACCTGTGAACTTGGGCCTGGTACAGTCTGCCCTGCATATCTCTAGGCCTCAACCCACTGGCTTGCTGCTCTGGCCATCTGGGCCTGCTTTCAGAGCTTTAAAAATTCTTCATCCGTTGCTCGGCAAGGCCTTTCCCGAGGGATGTTCCCTCTGCCTGGAATATGTTTCCCACATCTCTTACCTGGTTGTTTTCCACTGTCTTTTAGATCTTGGTTTAAATATCACATCTGTGAATCAGAGTTGATTAAATAAATACACGAGGTGGTCCTTGTTCTCATGGAATTTGGAAGTTCATTTTAGAGAAGCAAGACTCAGTCCAAGGTCTTAGTGTCACTGAGACCTGTCTCAGAGAATGATGTGTATAACTGTAGAATTAAAAATGCCAGATTAAAAAAAAAATGCCAGATTCAGTATTCTATTTAGAAAATTTAAGCATAAATATGTGGCTAAAATGTCTCAAAAGCATAAATACTTCATTTAAATAAGCAGTAGCTCACTGTCAATGGCATTTAGAATCCTGAATCTTAGAGAATTTTCAACCTCACTGGGGAGTAAGAAGACCAAGCAAGCAACAGAATGAGGAGCCAGTGATGCTACAGATTAGAAGGCACCAAACCGGGGAAGGGACACTGCTACTTTTTCTTTTGGGGAGGGATGTGGAACATGGTAAAGGATTCCCTCTCAGGTTTCGTGCTGAGCACCACTGGAGAGGTCTTTAGCTAGAGGGTTACAAAGCAGAATGTGCATTTTTGCAGCTGGAAACCTCGACATATTTGGCCTCTGCCTTCAGGCAATGACAGTGTCAACATCTGACTATCCAGATAATTTCTACTTTGCCCCTGAGAACTGTCATGGAAGGTGACTGCTCAGCTTCCTCCAGTTCGTCAGTGGGCCCTCTGGCCCCCCACGGGATTTCCAACCCATGTCACAAATGGACCCATTTCTAAAGAGTCAGGCTCTGATAAAATATTTTAATGTAGAATCTGGACTGAACATACACTGAATGTCACATAATTGTTCCAGTATTTAGCAAGTTTCTCAATCATTATTCTGAATCTTAATGCTTATTTCCCTATCAATGTGCCAAAATGTTAAATGAACTCAGGAAACAGAGTTGGCAACATCAGTGACACTGAGTCCAGCCATCTGTAGAAATGACTGCTATTTTGAGACTTTATTTTCCAAGTTCAGAATATAGTAAAATTTCCAGTTCTTTGTGATTTTAAATCAGTTAACTGAATTAAGAAGAAATCAGTTTTATTTATAGAGATCTGATCTCTATATCACCTAGAGTATCAGATAAACCATTTTAGTTCTTGTAGTTGCAATTTCTTCACACAGTGAAGTAATCTTTATCATGCTCACTTGAAGTTATTCCTAAGAGCATAGTAATAAAAAGATTTTTCTAAAACATAGAAAAGAGATCTCATAATAAATATCTCTAAAATTTCAGGTCATAGAAATTACATTATCTTCAATTATAATTTTTCTAAATTTGCGTGCACTATACTTTCGATTTCAATCACCATTTTCATTGTGCTTGCCAATGAAATTCTTCATAAAAATACATTTATTAATTGATTTTTAAATTTCCCATCAAGAGGAGTTTGGGCTGTTCGTTCATAGAATATCTATCATGATTAAGAGCATATGACCAGAATTAGATGGGCTTGGTTTCAAATCTTAGTTCTGTCACTTACTGCATGGGTAAACTGAACCAACCTATTGACTTTTCTGGACCTTAATATCTCCTTTGTAAAATGGAGGTTACAGCAGTATATCTCATAAGGTTATTGGCCAAGCTCTCACTTGGATAAGTAGATGTAACCAAGACTCAAATCTGGGTTCTCCAACTCCAGAGTCTAGATAGTATCCACTATGTTGTGGATATTAAAACCCATCAGACCTGGGGAAGGACTTATGTAGGCCACAAAGTACTATGGGGAATGAAAATGGGATCTGCAGATACAGGGTAGGAAAGGCTTGGGCACATGCCACCTCACAAGAAGCAGAAGACAGCTTGAAGCACTGTCCCATCCAGGATGCTGCCACCAAGAACTGAGCTGCCCCCAGAACCAGGTCTGGATTCTGTCATTTTCCCTGATCCAGTGCCAGCTCCTCCTATCCTCCAGCTAGAAGTCCCAGGTGTTCCTCTGCAGGGTAGGAAGCACTGCTCATAGGTGGGAGTAGGGTTGAGGCTGGTCAGCTTGCCCCTGTGAATCCCTACAATGACAACCTTGTCACCCCTTTTCATCTTCTTCAGCTTTAATATTGTTAACTGGGCTGTGAGGCAGCCCCTCTGCTCACCTCCAGGTCCTCATGGCTAACCATTTGAGAGACTCCAGAGCTGACCCTATATGGCTTACATCTGTCTAGCAGCTTTCTGAAGGTAGCTGCAAATCTGTGTGGACAATGGACCCAAAAAGCATGCAGGCTGACAGAGCCACGTGCCTTTACACTTGCTGCATCCCTCCCTCACAGACTACAAATTATGGGGGAGTGAATTCAGGAGCTCCCTATCAAGAAAGTCCTTGTGGAGAGTCAAAGAAACCCCAAAATCTCTCCTGTAATCTTTCCCTGGACAAACTGACAGGATGGACTGTCAGGTTGCTCATCACCAAGGAGAGGAAGAGCTGCTGGAACAGGCTGAGCTGTGAGCTGGGTGCCGGTGAGAACGCAGAGAGAGAGAGTCCAGGGAAGGTCACAGGTGGTACTCTTGGGCATCACCTTTTTTTGTTCCACTCTTGTAGGCCTCTAAACACATTCCAAAAGCAACATGATTAAAACTATAGATTCTTGTTTCTCTCTCTCAAACCAGCTCTTGGCACAGGCCCCTTCCTTGCCTTTACTCAGTTTCTACTTCCTTACCTTTTCCCACTTCTGAGTCAGTATTTACTGTTCCTCAGTGTTGATGACTTCTCTCTCTTTATTCAGTGGCTGGGTCCTAGCACTTCTGCCTTTGAAAGGCCCTATATAATTTCACCTCTCTTTTTTGTGACTTATGACTATAGCTTCCATCTGGATCTTATCTCCACATACTTAGCCCACTTTAGTTACCTTTTATGAAACTTCTCTGCTCAAAACTTCTTTCTAATTTATTCTGTCCTCCACTCAAAGATCAGAAAAATGGTCTTAGACCACCAACTTTGTTATGTTACTGTTTCTACACACCCACTCACTCAGAAGACTTTCATAGCTCTTCACTGATCTCAGAGGAAGGTCACACTCCCCAGCTATGCAAAAATGGTCAAGATAACACTCTTACTGGCTTCCCCACACACACCCAGGACAGACATTGGTAATCAATCCCAACAGTCTTTCCCGTTAGATTAGACTGGGCATCCATCTGGGTTAGCACTCTGGATGGCACTCCAGACATCAGTACTTCTCAGGTGTGCACAGAAAGTGATACCTGCCTGATCTCCAGCCCATCATGTTCTATGTCTATCTAACCTGCCTTGTCTTGGTCTCATGTCTGACTCCTCACTTTGGTCTTCTACCATGATGCCGTCTCTCTTCTCAGTGCTCAAACCCAGCATGCACCGTTAGATGCTTGGTGGTGCCTTGCCCTGATGGTCTCTGTGTAGACTGAGTCTTGCCTCCTCAGACAGATGCAGTAGCCCTGGAGGGCAAGGTATGTGTTTTTCCTTCCAACTGACAAGCACCCATGTCCATCCCAGAAGGCAGGCTTGGGTTTTCCTTTGAGCTTTGTCTTTTAGATGAAGGCAGGAACTTATTTATTGAATCCACTGCTTCTTCACTCAGAAAGGCTGTGATACTGTAAGGTTGTGGTGCTATTTGTAGAGTTCTTGGGCCTGGAAATGGGAATCTGACTTGGCCAGATAAAATCTGAGAGGATGCTTGGTAGAGTTGAGAGATCACAGACACAAGAACACTAGACCCCAGTCTGCTCTCAATTCAGCTTCCACTGTGTGACTTTAAGCATGTGACTTAGCTTCTCTAACATCAGTTTTCTGTGGATCAGTGGGCAGCCCTGGAGCAGTGAGCATGGGTGAGGCCATTCTCATCTCCCTCTCCCTGCCTCTGCAGAGGATCCAAATTTAGTTGTCACCACTCAGCAACAAGGCCACAGTGTAAGCAGACATAGGCAGAGGTCTTCTAGAGCCATAGGCCACCATCTTGGATACTAAGTGTCTCCTGCTTTCCTTCACAGCAGTTTGGGGCACTGGCAGCATGGAGCTGAAGAGAGGGAAGACCTTCATCAAATCCAGCCTGCAGATTTCCCATGAGAAACTCCTAGATTCATCAGCCACCGCTCTGGCCAGGGAGGATACAAGTCCCTGGTCAGTCTCACCAGGAGGGCAACAGCGGCCCTACTGTGAAAGGGCCCCACAGGTTAGTCCCAGCACCCAAGGATATGACAGATGTTCCAACAATGGGGCAGAGCTGGAACCCGAGGTGGGGGCTGCAACCTTCTGTGGGGCCACCTTCAAACTGGTACGAAAGAGCAAGACTCACGACTGTGTGCCTGAGGCTGGCAGGGCAAGCACAGCCACAGGGCAGCTGGTGGGCAGTGCAAGCTTCCCAGGGCCCCCCAGCAGCCAACGCATGATTGATTACCGCCACTTTGTGCCCCAGATGCCCTTTGTGCCAGCTGTGGCCAAGAGCATCCCAAGGAAGAGGATCTCCCTGAAACGACCTAAGAAGTGCTTTCGGAACCTATTCCACATTCGCAGAAACAAGCCTGAGAACTTGGCCTCACTGGTGACCAAGGGTGAGAGCCTGTCTTCCCCTGGGGAGCCATCAGAGGATGGTGGGCAGCCAGGCAAAACTTTCTTCCCCTTAGGTGAGGGACTGGGTCCAGACAGCCTGTGCCAGGACCTATCTGACAGTGAGCTCCTGCCTGACTCTTCCTTTGACCTCTGCAGGGCCTTGTGTGAGGATGTGGCCTCACTCAAGAGCTTTGACTCCCTCACAGGTTGTGGGGAGATCTTTGCAGATGAAAGCTCAGTGCCATCACTGGAACTGAATGAGGGCCCAGAGAGCCCAGCCCAGGTATCCCAGATCCTTGAAAACAAGGTTCTTAGAGGCCCTTTCCAGGGCAGTGTGGAACAGCTGGCATCACCTGCCCAAAATGAGATGTCTGACTTTGCCAAGTTCTGGGACAGTGTGAATCACTCTGTGAGGCAGCAGCACCGTGCCCTACTAGAGCCATGGCTGGGGGGTCCCCAGGGGACAGACACAGACCGTCCCAGGCTAGATGCAGCTGGGCTTGCTGAGCTACCCCTGTGTCCCAGCAGGGACCCCCACAGTGGCTCCAAAGCTAGCTCCATAGACACAGGTACCCCTAAGAGCGAACAGCCGGAATCCGTGTCCACAAGTGATGAGGGCTACTATGACTCCTTCTCACCTGGCCTTGAGGAGGACAAGAAGGAGGCTTCAAGCCCAGGCACACCTGCAGCTGCCTTCCCCCGGGACAGTTACAGTGGAGACGCCCTCTATGAGCTCTTCTATGACCCCAGCGTGAGCCCTATAGGCCCAAGCCTGGATGATGACTTATGTGTGTCTGAGAGTCTGTCAGGGCCAGCACTAGGAGCACCATTGTCCATGTGCAGCTTCCACGTGGGGGCAGAGGAGAACTTGGCCCCAGCACCAGGGCCAGATCTGCTCAGCCAGGGCTTTTTGCAAAGCTCCTGGAAGGGCAAGGAGTGCCTGCTAAAGCTCTGTGACACTGAGCTTGCCATCACCATGGGCATTATCAACTGGCTTCGCCGTGGCCCTGAACTCCGTACCCCACCTGCCTCAGCTCCTGGAGAAACTGCAGCCTCACCCAGGAGACAAGCAGAGAAGCTGGGAGCTGACTCTGAGAAAAAGGGCCCAGATCCAGTGAAACTGGAGGGCAGGGGGCCTGGGGCTTCAGATGCAGTTAGAACTACTGTAGGCTCAGCACCCAGCAGATGGGAGCTGTGGGCACATTCACGTCCCAAGGGCCTGCTTGCTGGAGAGAGCAAGGTCACAGGAGGGTCCAAGCAGGGAACCAACACTCCGTCTAGGGACTCATCTCTGGAGTGTGCACAAGTGTCTGGGGAAGGAGGGACGCAAGGCTGTCATGAAGTCTTGTTTTCTTCTTTGGGGTGTGAAGCCTCTGCAACAACAGACACTTCCAGCAAAAATAAGATCCCAAACCCTTGGCCTGGCTTCCAAGAGCCCAGGCCTCCTGGGAATTTGGAGTGTTTCCAAGATCCTTGGAGGCCAGATCCTGGAAGAACCACTCTTGATGTAGAACCCCCTCTGATAGGCTGTGTGGCCCAGGTGGCAGCCCTGCACATCCATCCAGATTACCAACCCCCTACTATACACCTGCCAAGGCAGGACACAAGCAATGGGCTCTGTAGGCAGCCTCAGGCCAGGGGCTCTGACATTCTCCAGCAGAAACAGCCTAACAAATTCCCTAGCATGCCAGTTGTATGTGGCCTGTCCTCCTTGGCTAATCCTCTCCACAGCCCACAGGACCAGAGGTGCCCAGGTCACATCCTGGACCTTAGCCGGCTCAGGGTGGAGCCCACCAGGATGGATGCCCAGGCTTATCGTGTCTCCATGGATGACCAGCCCCTTCAGCTCAGTTCAAGGGCTGTGGAACAGGCAGCACCTAGGGGCCAGCTGGATTCATAGCCCCTCTTGGTCCTACTACCCAGCTGAGCCCCCAGGGCCAACTTCCAGGATTCCTGGACCTCACTTCCAACATCCAGTATAAGTGAGCCCCCTCTGCAAGTGCCCCAGAAAGTTGTTATAGTTTCCTGGTCCATGAGGGCCTCCTCTGCAACCAGCCGGAAGAAGGGCCCCCAGACCAGCCATGGCCGAGCCTCACCTGTAACATGGGCCCTCACTCACCAGAAACTGTGTCTTTGGGGCCACATTCAAGAGAACCTAACATCCAAACCTCCAGCCTCTGTCCCTAATATGAGGACTGTGGGGGAGTGGGGGTAGCAGCACACAGACAAGTGGAGCAGAGCATTTTAATGTGGAGGCATCCATGCCTGAACCAGTTCAGCCAGACCAGGTACTGTGCAGCCCAAGGCCAAGGACAGCTGCACAGCTGCCATTGCTCTGAAAGTGTGCCTCACTGATTTCCCCACAAAGAAATGAAGATTCGAATCCCAGTTGGCTGTAAAGTGGCCACATCTGGATTCTCCTCCTATAGCATGTTAGAGAGAGGAGCTCAGGCTTGAAACTGATGGGAAGATAACAGTACATCATATAAATGGCAATTGAGGGAGCCAAGATGTCTGCAATAGGGGTTGAGAAAAATAAATGTGTGGCCTAGGGCTTAGGGGTGGGATGCAGAGTGGGAAAGAGGCAGGATGGGGCACTGTAGATGAGGTCAGGAATGTTCACTGACCCCACACCAGTCTGCTCTCTACTTCCAGAACAAGTAACCACAGTGTACTGGGGTTCTGAAGGACTCCTCATGGGAATAAGAAGCAGGAACAGCCTCATCTTATTAAAAACCTTGAATCAGCAGACAACATGTGTTACTGTGCAACTCTGCCAGGGCTAGACCCTGCAGACCCTAGTCAATAGGAGTTGGCGAATTCTCGGTCACAAATCAGACCAATAATTTCCCCCGACTTCTCTAAATGAAGCCAAGGATGGCAAAATGTTCTTAAGGAAGAAGCTGATTGATTGTCCACAACTCTGCCATTTTCACCCCTCCACACTGTCAGCATCTTTGCCTCCCCCTTCAAGAAAACTTACCTCGAAATGGAGCTATAATTCTCATCCTTCTGACAGCCACAACATACACAGTACCAAATATTCAGAATCATGGAGGGAAAAGGAGGCCCTCATCCTCAGGAAGGGCAAGTGTCAGAACATCAGGTACAGTGAGAGACCATGCATCAAGTTTCTCCATGATTAGATCCTACCTCAACCATCATGCTACAATGAGAAGCAAAGGATGGGATACTACAGATATGAAACAGTTTCTGGAAGAAAGGTCATCATAGAAAGGGGTAGGTCAGGTGGTGGGGGAGAAATTCTAACCAGAAGGATGCAGTCTCACAGCTGACCACATTATGGTGCCTCTCCTGATTGTCTGAGGCTTCATTTCAGACTAGAAAATGCTCTGTAGCCCTTGTTAACAACTGCTTACAGGGGCCTACTTTTTGCCTCTATAGGCTCCTGACCAGGCCCATCCCTGGGACATTTCCAGTCTTCCTGGAAAACCACACATGATTCCCCCTCCCAGGACTTCCACAAATGGTTAGGATTATTGAGCTGTGCTGGGAGCAGGTTACACATGGAATAGTTTACCACATCCCTGCATCAGCCTGAATGCAGCTGTCTTCATTTCTCAGATGTGGAGACAAGGCACAGAGTGTTGATGTGACTTGCCAATGAACACACACAGCTAGTGTGTGGGGTTGGTGGGGTTTGAGTCCCACCCTTTGGCTAGAACTTCTCTTGCTGAACTCCTGCAGTGAACTCCTCTTTCAAAGCCTTCACTCCTCCCTTCTCCCACAGCACCCTCTAGGTGCCAGCTGCATGTCTCCCTGTAAGCAGCCTGAGTTCCTGGGGGCAGGGGGCATCCTTCATTCAATCATGGTCCTTATCACTTTGTACTACACCTGAGCAGAGCAAGTGTTCAGTACATATTTACTTGTTGAAAAATGAAATATCAAAAGATTGCTAGTGGTTTTGTTTTCTTATTGAACATGAGCTTATGTCTGAAGAGTAGCAGAGTTAAGATTTTACCTTTAGGAGTTCTGAGGGAGTGTTTCCTTGATGTGACATGGTGACTGGTGGTGATGGGGAGAATCCAGCCAGTGCCAAGAGTGCTGATAAAAGCAGAAACCAAGGAGTTCCAGGACCCAGAGGTTATGGTGAGGGTGGTCTTCAGTGACCCAGCAGCAGAGCAGCAGAGAAAAGGAACTGAGGCCATGCCTACCTGAGAGGAACAATCAGCCCAGTAGCTATCACTATGGGAAGCCTCTTAAGTAATCTTGACACCCTAGAAATTTTCATTTTCTGCAATGTGGTGGGAGATCACAGCAGTAGCCTCCAAGATACCTTGCTGAGAGAACAGAAGAGGGCCTTCCCTTCCTCTTATGTCCAGTGGTTCTGAGGAGGCCTCAGACTATCTCTTGCCACATCCCAACTCTTGGGTTGCCCTCCCCTGCAAGAGGGGCACAGGCAGTGCCAGTCTAATGGGGCTCTGCAGGCTTCAAGTATGTTCTCCAGGTTGACCCACTGAGAGGAAAGAATAGAACTCTTGGGCCATCTCCTAGGATAAGTACTTAGTCCAGTGCTGGGAGTAGCAGAGGGATGTGGGGCATTTTCAGAATTCTGGTCATTTCTAACCCTCTTATTCATACATGGCTGTAAAAGTTATAGGAGGTTGTTTCTCCCATATAAAGCAAAATCCCAGCTCATAGATGTCCCACAGAGTCGGAATGACTCCCCAGGGTCATACAATGACAAGCAGAGGACTGAGGTACACCCTGGGCCCTATGCACTGCCTTTCAACCTTCCAGCCTTCCAAGGTTGCACTGGATACTGGGAGGTGCTGGGAAGGGGCCAGGCAGCCTCCCAGCCTGCCTTAATGGTGAGGGTGGCCTGGGGTACACCAGCAAGCCTGGATCAAGAGATCAAGAGGGAGGTGCTGAAAAGGGGTAATTATAGGCCAGCACATGCTGAGGAGGACCCAGAGAACTCTATCAGTCTTACCTTTCCTGGTTTCTTATTTTATTTCGCTTTACTTTTTATGGAATGGGGTAAATACAGGATACAAACTCAAAAGACACAGAAAACAATAAAAAGTCAGTCTCCTTCCTTCTTTTATCCTTCTGTTGTTTTGATTACAAAACTAATTCTCATTTACTACAACCAACCCAAACTATGTAAAGTGCTGAGTCCACTTCCCTGACTTTCTTGAACACTAGAAGTGTCCTCAGACCCTTTTTATACCCATGACATAAATACACATGAACTTTAATCTTTTTCACTGCATAGCACATCACAGACATTTTTTTTATTTAGAATCAATTAACATATAATGTATCATTAGTTTCAGAGGTAGAGTTTAGTGATTCATCAGTTGTGCATAACACCCACTACTCATCCCCAGTTACCCCATTCTCCCACCCACTTCCCCTCCAGCAATTCTCAGCTTGTTCTTTATATTTAAGTCTCTTATGGTTTGCCTCCTTCCCTGTTTTTACTTTATTTTATTTTTCTTTCCCTTCTCCTAAGTTCCTGTGTTTTGTTTCGTAAATTCCATATATGAGTGAAATCATATGGTATTTGTCTTTGGTATATGGTATAAGTCTATGTATATGGTATATGTCTATCTATGTATATGGTATAAGTATATATGGTATATATACCATATATACCATATAAGTATATATGGTATAAGTATAAGGTATATCTATGTATATGATATAAGTCTATCTGACTGACTTATTTCTCATAAGCATCTGCCTTCAGCTCAGGTCATGATCCCAGGGTCCTGGGATGGAGCCAGCATCTGGCTCACTGCTCACTGGGGAGTCTGCTTCTCCCTCTCCCGCTGCCCCTCCCCCCCGCTCCTGCCTGCTCTCACTCTTCCTTGCTTGCTCTCTCTCTCAGACATCTTCTTAGCAGGTACCAGCAGCAAACAGTTTTTCCATTCTCTTGAATAGCTCCACAGCATTCTCCTATAGATATGAATTAATTTAAACATTCTCCTATTGGGGCACCTGGGTGGCTCAGTGGGTTAAGCCTCTGCCTTCAGCTCAGGTCATGATCTCAGGGTCCTGGGATCGAGTCCCACATCTGCCTCTCTGCCTACTTGTGATCTCTGTCTGTCCAAAAAAAAAAAAAAAAAAAAAAACATTCTCCTATTGATGGATATTCAAATTATTTTGATTTTTGTTATTATAAACAATGTTGTGCTCACTTTTTATTCTCCTAAATCTTCTTTATTAGAGTCCTCTTAAAAACTATAAAAATGAAACTTAACAGTGAAAGGATGTATTTAAAAAATGAACAACACATCCTGTTTCCTGTACCTACTGCAAGGAATAACTGTCCTGAGGTCCTGATGTTAATGCCCTGGGCTCCATGGAGATAGGGATATATCACACACACCCATATTTTGGAGAAGAAAAGTGGTTTTTCTTCTGTTATTACATGTAAGACCTTGAAAATTGTCATTTCTATCCTTACAACAAAAAAAAATCTGGACAAATAAAATCAATGACTTTTCTTGACCTATCAGAAAATGGCAAATAACTTCCTTGAAACATGGAGAAATAGGCACATTCAGAGAAATACAACAACCAAGACCTGGAGCAGAAGATCCAAAATGACAAAAACTGGTAGGAAGAGTTAAAAAGCAATTTTGACAAATTCTTGAAGCACAAGTAGGAAGCTGGGGAGATAGACAGTCAAGGGGGCCATATGCTTTCATAGTCCTTTCCTCTAGGAAACATCAAGTTTTCAGGATGAGGATAGCGAAAGATCCCTTTGTGGGCATGGCAGAGGGAATGGAAAGGTAGCTACTGTTAAACCCTTCAGAACATTCTCCCAGCAGGTCTACCTCACAGGGGAAGGACTTCTCCAGAGGGCTATTCTGAAACTTTTCCAACCTGAAGGAAAGGAACTTCACCCCATTCCAGGTCTCTTCAACCTTCCTGTCTCAGGTAAGAATAAGTGAATAAGTATATAAGCAAATAAATACATAATATAAGGT